AGGTCAGGTTAGAATAATGCAGTTTAGTTAGTTAGGTTAGCCAGCATTGTGATTTAAACATAAAACATGACTACAGCTAATTTTTATTTTAATAAATATATTTATAATTTTCTATTCAACTTAATCCTTTTTTTGTATTTTGTAATTTGTATTAAAAAGAACACAATTATTTCAAGCATAAAACCATTTCTTCAAATATAAGTTATTATAAAAATACCCATTTTTTCTAATGATAACCAATCATAATGATGATCATGAATTTTTATTTTGTGAACTATTATTTATCTTATATATATATAGTTTAAAAAAATATGGGCTCTTATGTAGAACTGCGTCCGCGTCGCAGAGCCTGGTAGCATTCTAATAGAATGGCTAAGAGTTCTACTTGATAACGACAGCTTGACAGAGTTATGTCCCCTTAGTACGGGTACGGGAGGAAACAAAACACCCGCGATCACAACAAAATCAGAATTTCATGTGAAATATGTTGTTTATTTCAACGAAACTTACATAATTATATACAGTAAGGTATTTTCTTCTATATAACGGAAAATAACATGTTTATTTTCCCTAAATGTCTACTTATATGTGAAAAATCGTGATTTTCACGGTTGACTGCGGCGTACAAGTTTTACCCCCTTGAAAAACACATTATCGTCGATTTCTTAATTATTAGATAATAAATAGACATTTTTGTAATTGTCACATTTAGACAATAATGTTTGAAATTATTCTATATTTTTATAGAAATTATAAACCATCGCGTTAATGTGATATTAAAATATCTTTATATTCCCGGTACGGGGTTTTAGTCCGGGTCCGGGAACGGGGTACAAGATTTACCTACCACCGAAGTAATCCGCGATCCGCAAAATCTACTTAATAATCTCTAAACAACAACGAGAAATAATAATTTTGAAAACTACAGGGTTAATTCGTTACTAAATTCATATTTAACAAAAAGAAAAATATATCATTCAAAAATAGTATGTCGCTTGCTTTAAATAATTCAATTTTAAATTGTATTTATAATCTCGTGTTGCGAGACTCATGCCGATAAGAGAGTTATGGCGGACAAGTTTGGACGTAATGTTTTGGATGGTAACAGATTCAAGATGTGAATTCGAATTGACAAGAGATGTTTAAAATGCTGTCGATACCCTGGCAATGCTTTAAAATACATTAGCAATGGTAAAAAAGAAGGCAAAATCTTCGAAGTCAGCCAAAAGACGGGGTAAGCGTACTTGTAAACAAACTGTTGGGATTGGACCATGTTTGTACATGCTGTCATGTTTGACATTTGATGGTGGCGCCAATATAAAAAATATGTTATGCAGGTTGAAGATACAAAATATATTGCTTCTAACTCAATTTGATATTGAAAACATTTTTTTCTCTATTTTTCAATTACCTGTCAATGCCTGTTGGTGCCATGGAATAAGTATACTCTTGCACACAATACTCTGGAAAAAACCCAGACCCCCCCCCCCCGAAAATTCGTAATGAAATAAACGTTAACACTAGCTTGAATTTATATTTCAGAATTGTATAAAGGCTCTTGAATAAGAAACACTGTGAAAGCTGTCATATGACGAAAGCTGTTGATGCAACAGGTGAAATTATGCATAATTAATACAGTATGAAATATTTGTATATTGTAGGATCATGGCAGATGGAAGATGTTCAAGTGCACACAGGCCTGCCCCCTCAAGTGGATGGCCAGTTGCGTTGCTTCTGTCGACTGACCATCGATCAAATCCATTGGCATTCCCCTAACCCGCCTGATGTGGCACATGTCAGGGTGAAGTGGTGGGGTGAGGACGGTGATGGAGGTTTGTTCAGGTAATAAACGGTTTAATAGTAGTGTATGAATTTCTGTTTTATTAAAAAACCACACATAAACATGAAAAATATGTCTATAAAACACAGGTTGGAATGCAAGTGTCTGTTCAATTGCAATCTCACATTCAATTTCATATATATATACATGTACATATGCATTAATTTGCAATTTGTTACATAAAATTATCGTATTTGACCGCAAATAAGCCCACACCCCCAGTTAAAAAACATAAACCAAAAGTAAAGAGGGGGCTTAATTGGGGTCAAATATGGTAATTGATTAATAAAGAGTTGTAAATAAATCTGTTTTAAAATGTTTCTTGCAAAGTCCAATGAAACATATCTTGTATCTCAAAGAAATGCAAAATAAGTCTTTAACAGATTCCAGGCTATGTTGGAATAAAAGGTAATGTAAATGTTGACAGAGCAATTAAAAAAATGCATCAAACTCCCAGCAAACCAATATCAAACTGCAGCAATAGGTGTTATCGCAACCATCCACGAGTTACTCCCCTTTGAAGAGTTCTTGCTGGAAAATGCACAGGTCTCGCGAGAGAATGCGAGGATACGGGGGCAAAACAATCTGCCATGTGTCAACAATATGCCCCACCTTCACTGTATTGAACAAACAAAAATAACTCACAATAATAGAGGTCATATCAAATGCATTTAGTGATGACATTCCAATCAAATTGTTTGTCCAAAACAAGCCTTCTGATGTTTCATTTACATAAAGGTAACACACGATACTCTGTATGCCGCTGACGGTCTGTCACAGCTGTGATGCTTTAGCTTCATCCTATTTTTCAATATCTGGCCAATTTAACATGTCTGCTTGCTATCATAGGTGTACTAGCTCCCCAATTTTCTTATTTGGAGTAGGTGATACCTTTTGACTTTAAAACATTTCCCAATTCATTACATGGAAGTTCGTGGAAATTCGTATCTGAATGTTTTGGCGCTGCCATGTTGTCCGTTGCCCCAGCGGGTGCAGTTTAATTCCCTCCTATTTGAAGAGTTCCACTGGTCGCAATACCATCTATTGCAACATACAGATTTTAAACTTATTATATGACCGGCCATTCGAAGTGCATTAATGGCAGCTACAATGGTCTCTCACTCATGCTTATCTGCTAACTAAAGGAGATCCACTTAATTACATCTACCAGGAAGATTTTAGCCCTGGGTGCTAGAGCTAGTGGAATTTTACACCCCTGCAAAGACTACGAGTGATTGTCTCTCATTTTTGAAGTCATACATTCCTTAGTGTATATATGCACACCAAAGAACACAAAACAAAACATTGAACAATATTCTCCACTAGTTAAACGCTAAATCCATCTGCACTTTTAAAAAGTTGAATTAACACTCCCGACTTCATAGATATGTAGAGAAACATATATACATGTAGCAACTTGGGTAGTTGCTGGCGGCGCGTCTAATTACCCAATACTACCCAATACCACCCAATACCAATACCAATACGATGATGACAACTGCATTTCTAAAGAAGCTGACAATTTTTTCGTATTTCCTATCAAATTATCAAGAATGTATACTTCCCCACTATCTACCTCCTGTACTGACACTACCCAATGGTCCACCTTTACAACCGTCACCTTCACTACCATCACCTTCACTACCATCACCTTTACTACCATCACCTTTACTACCGTCACCTTTACTACCATCACCTTTACAACCGTCACCTTTACTACCGTTACCTTTACAACCGTCACCTTTACTACCGTCACCTTCACTACCGTCACCTTTACTACCATCACCTTTACTACCGTCACCTTTACTACCATCACCTTTACTACCGTCACCTTTACTACCATCACCTTTACTACCGTCACCTTCACTACCATCACCTTCACTACCATCACCTTTACTACCATCACCTTCACTACCGTCACCTTCACTACCATCACCTTTACTACCATCACCTTTACTACCATCACCTTTACTACCGTCACCTTTACTACCGTCACCTTCACTACCGTCACCTTTACTACCATCACCTTTACTACCATCACCTTCACTACCGTCACCTTCACTACCGTCACCTTCACTACCATCACCTTTACTACCATCACCTTCACTACCATCACCTTTACTACCATCACCTTCACTACCGTCACCTTCACTACCATCACCTTTACTACCATCACCTTTACTACCATCACCTTTACTACCGTCACCTTTACTACCGTCACCTTCACTACCGTCACCTTTACTACCATCACCTTTACTACCATCACCTTCACTACCGTCACCTTCACTACCGTCACCTTCACTACCATCACCTTTACTACCATCACCTTCACTACCATCACCTTTACTACCATCACCTTCACTACCGTCACCTTCACTACCATCACCTTTACTACCATCACCTTTACTACCATCACCTTTACTACCGTCACCTTTACTACCGTCACCTTCACTACCGTCACCTTTACTACCATCACCTTTACTACCATCACCTTCACTACCGTCACCTTCACTACCGTCACCTTCACTACCATCACCTTTACTACCATCACCTTCACTACCATCACCTTCCTTACAATCACGTTCACTACCTTCAACTGAACACCTTAGGGACATGTTGTGGTGTTCTATCGCAAATATTAGTGATATTGGTATACTGCATGGTAGATACCGTGATGTTGCAATTTTATTTAACATCTAAGTCCGTGATCTAAATCACAGTTACAGGTAAATATATATATTATTATTTGATTTTATAATGTCCTCCGAGGAATTACAAATTCCACTTGCAAACCACTTATATAATATGTGCAGAAGACGTAGTAGTCTATGTGATTAGTTATAATTTTAAACAGTGTCTTGTAAGCCATTTTAGGCTGAACATCATATACAATTACATTTTCTATTTAATGCATTTGTTAAATATGATACCAGGTGTCAATCAGAAACATTTTTTTATGAAAATAATCTTCCGTTTAAATATAATTAGCTACTAGTTAGTGTGAATTTAGCAGACCTCGCTGGAAGGGGGCTCCCCAACCCTTGGAAATCTAAATTTCACTACAATGTAGAACTAGGAAATTATTCATTTTATTTATCACCATTGTTATTGTTTTTTTAAAGACATCATGTTTTAAGGCAGTAAATATAAAAGAAACCTTTTAACTATTATAGTATGTAATATGTAAGGACAAAATCCAGGAGTTTGTTAGGTAGGGGCTGTCCCAATCACCTGCTCTCTGGATTGGCACATGTGATAGTTTGTTTTAATTTATTAATGTATTATGTATAATAGCTGTTCTTAACAAAATTATGATATTATAAATTATGTAACTATATGTGTTTATACTGTGTAACTATATACTTGTACGATGTAATTGTGATATATGACACTATAATAAACAAAATTGACTTGACTTGACTTAACTATATATATATATATATATATTGGATATGCAATGACGACGAAAACGGAGATAAATTTTGAATAGAATTGGCAAATAGAGGATTTCCCCCAAAATTACTTGTAGTCAACTAAATTAGAACAAATGTTTAAATAATTTTATTATGCAATGAACGTTATAAACGTATTGACGTACATGAACATTCTACAGATTTTTTTTTATTTATAACAACTATCGATATAATATGTATAAATATAGATTTGTTCCAATATATACTTAAGATACATGGTCGTGAAAAGTAAATCTACTCTAACTAAATACTCATCAAATTTATTTAAACAAATTTAAGTCTTTTAAAACATCAAGTTATATGAATGCATAACCACGGACTTTATCTAATTCCGTGTACAATATCTAATTTTAGACATAAACTTAGTCCCATGCAATTGAATAGATTCTTGATATATGAAATCCATTTAAAATCAGCGAAATCATTTTTATGTAAATTCAGCATAAGCTTGTACATTATACTAGACAATTTATTTTCACCTGTAATTAGTTTATACCAAAACATTATCATTCTAGATTTAATTTCAATATCCAGCGAGTACCTACCCGTTTCACCATATACCATTATATTTGCTGTGGAGCTACGTATGTTTAAAATTCTTTAACAAAACTGTACACGTAATTTCTCAATCATATTGGTATTTTCAAACCCCAAAATTACTTTTTGAAACGTATATAGATATTAAAGCATGAAGGATAAATATATTTTCAGTTGTAGAGTAGCCTTTCCTAAAACCAGCTTGAACATTGGAACAAGAAGTCTATTGTCTACTATTACGGAATTAGATAATCAGTTTTGACCACATCGGCCTTTGAAAAAAAATGAAACTTAAAGCGTTTCACCGTGTTTCTTTCTTCTTTACATATACAATTAATATACAGTATCGTTTTTCTATAACAGATAAGGCCTAACAATCCAACATATGGACTTCAATATTTATTTACGTAAAACACGTATTTCAATTAACTTATATTTACATATAGAATAATATTTAATTTTCAGATTGATGTCCCTTTTTTGAGTTGGAAAATTGCGTATTTTCTTTTTTTTAAGATCGTAGACGTGATGGGATTGTAATCTACACATTAACACCAATTAATTCACTCAAAATATATTCATGCTATTTATTAAGAGTTGAGTATAAGTTATGAAGTTATTAAAATTTAGTTATCATAATGTCATTTCCAATGTTTCAGGTGTTATGACATCGCAATAACAATGTCATATATATAAATGAGAAAATAACTCAGATACATATTTATTATATATGTAATATATAATTCTCTGAACAACCCTTTTTTATAGAATAAAACAGAGACATAAATTGGAACCTCGGCCTGGCAATTTATATATATATATATATTTAGTCCGATCCTGCCCCGTTTCTATAATTGCAATTCTTTTATGAAATATACCTTATACCAGATAAGGATAATTAAATATATACAATAAATATATATAAATAAATCCGATCTTGCCCCGTTTCTGTCCGTTCCTGTAAATCGTCGAGCGTTCTTGCCCGATCCATATCAATACAATACTTTTTTTTAAATTCTTTGCAATCCTTTTATCAAATGACGTATCTTGTACCCGATAAAAAAGATATAATAATATAAATATAAATATATATATAATTTAGTCCGATTCTGCCCCGAATGGCGATCATGTAATTGCAATCATTTTATCAAATATATCTTATACCCGATAATGATACTTTAATGTATCTAATCAGAGACGTATAAAGCCATAACTGTGTTATATACGTCTCTGATCTAATATATATATTCATTAATGTATAGGCCTATATAAAAATTAATAGATTTCTGCCCGTTCCTGTAAATCGTCGAACCCCTAGTCACGGCATTTCGGTGATGTTTTCTGCACCAAATCGCATATTTCCAGATAGAATGTGACATATAGAAGTAAATAACTGTGACATTTCACAGTAATAAAGAAGTATTTGGTTCATAACTGGATCGTATGGGGTAGTATTGGGTAGTACTGGGTGGTATTGGGTAGTATTGGGTGGTATTGGGTAGTATTGGGTGGTATTGGGTAGTATTGGGTAATTAGACGTGCCCGGTTGCTGGGGACCAGACAGCTTTAATTTAGATCAGTTGAAAAGGCCAAGAGTAACATATTGATTCTTTGCCTATACCCAGCCAACCCAATCAAATTAATGCTCAAACTTCTTAATTGAAAATTTTGGATTTTAAATCTATGCTTCAACCAAAAGTTTGCAAATATTTACTTTTTGACAGTGAAGTGTTTTATATCAATATGAAAGCAGGCGAAAACAAAATCAAGACACAGTTTTGAAGGATTTATGAAAGTAATGAAAAAAGTGACATTTCATTTTGTAAAATATTACCCTGCTGTAACTACCTATATTTAAAGCTACCAGTACCTACCTTAGCTTCAAATTCTGGATCAGTTTCACTTTTATCACACATATTTTATAAATACATATATACTAGCTGCCTCAACCTGTCCAGAGTATTTAGGTCCTTAGTTCAAACACTGGTTAAACAAATGTGTGTGTATTACCATCTTTTTTTCCCCACAGACCACTGAATGTGAAGAAAGGGGATAAGGGTCCAGCAAAGGTAACAGCTAGGTACCCAGTGAGGTCTGGTCCACGACAGTTTGCATCTTACCTGGTTGACATGGGTAGTCTGGTGGTGGAGATTCTTAGTGGACCAACGATGATCCCTGTGGGACAAGCTGAAATCACGCAGATAGGACTTCTGTCTAACGTCAGACCTATTGATGGGTGGGTATATATTGTTTCTGGATACAGATACCGTAAATTTGCGGGTATAGTGCGCACTCGGGTATAATGCGCAGGTACGATTTTGGGGTCAGATTTAGACATAGATTTATGTCTATGAGTTGTTGACATACAAATGTATGTTGACATTAGGTGATCCTTGCAGTTTGTACATTTACATGTATTTCTCTAAAAATAACATCCTTCTGGACATATAAAAGGTAAGTATTATTTTTGCAAATAAAATAATAATTCTAACTATTTGAATTAATTACATGTACATTTTTGTGCTATTTATTTCATTGTTTAACAAAAAAGTAACAACAAAATAATTTTCCTTCTAGATTGTACCCAGTATTATCTCCTAGAGAAGAAAAGCTGGCTGAAATCCATGCGTCTTTGGTTTTGGAATCTTTAATGGGTAATTATGATTGCATGCTTATTTTCAAACAGGCATATTTGTTGTCAAATCATGCAATAATTAACTTGTTTTATGAAATATTTGGACTATACTTTGACTCAACAAATTTTGTGTATTAATCAAGTCATAATCATGTAACATTTATTTTTTCCATTTAAGAAGTATAATAATGAATTTTACTTTATTATCTAATCACCCTATAGGAGTCCTTTAAGAGAAAAAGATGGGATTTTTTCTATTGAGTTTCTTGTATTGTGTTTTTATCAGCCTCGTACGACAGCACTGGGTCCATTCCAACAACAGACATCAGTATGGAAACCCATGCAACACAAGAGTCCATGTACCCACAGAGAGTTCAGCCTATCCCTCACTCCCAGGCTCCTCAGAAGCCTGTGGATGATCCGTTCGTCTCCCCTGCATCTCATCAAGTAAGTCAAAGGATTTGTAAATTGTGAGTACATTTAACAAAACATCTAGCCAATTGCCCAGGCCCCTTAGATCTAGTGGGTGAACCTTTCTTCTCCACAAGTAAGAGAATTGTGAATATACAAAATTATAACCATGCCTTGTTCCCAATCCTGTGAAACCTGTAGACATCAAAGACATTGTTAGAGGAACCCTTTATCTCCTTGTCGTCTGAAGCTTCTATAGAGTAAATATGTATGATGTCAGAGATGAAAGTTTTTCAGATTTTCAGGATTATTTCAGCCTTTTTGCCCATAAGCCCATTTTACTTATGAGTGATCAGCCTACCCCCACTTCCAACACCAGTCATACTTGATTTAAAAACAAACAAAAAAGAGCTAGGACTCGATTCTTAGTGTACAATACTAGATTTGCCATGCACAAACAGAAATAGAATATCATCTGAATATATTTTAATAACTTAATCGATTGCACTTTACTTCAAGAATGGCCTACAGAATGGTTATGCCGACCGGTCGGAGGACCTGCGTAAACAGTTAAACTACAGTCTACAGGAAACAGAAGAGAGACAGCTGTCAGGCATACAGTCAGGAAGTACCGTGGCCATCACTACCAATGGAGATGTGGTCACTACCAACCTCGGTCAGGACTTACAGTCGTCACCACAGAGTAAGTAGGTCACTGTGACTCGGTTATCACTGCAGAGTAAGTAGGTCACTGTGACTCAGTTGTCATCACAGAGTAAGTAGGTCACTGTGACTCAGTTGTCACCACAGAGTAAGTAGGTCACTGACTCAGTTGTCACCACAGAGTAAGTAGGTCACTGTGACTCAGTTGTCACCACAGAGTAAGTAGGTCACTGTGACTCAAACTAAAAGTGTAAGTAGGTCACTCCGACTATCACTACATGGAAATATATATAGGTCCATCTGATCGAGACCAACACCACAGGGTATAGGTTAAACTGACCCAAACTATGTGATAATATAGGTTGGTTGCTCTAATCCAACTACGTTGTAAAAATATAGGTCACTGTGACTCACACTACAAGAGTAAGATAAGGTCACTCTGACCCACAGTATAGCCTAATATAAGGTCATTGACCTACCTACAGAGTGATATAAGTAGGTTGCTCTGACCCTCACTATTGTTATATAAGTAGGTCACACTCTCTCACACTAAAGAGTAATATAACTAGGTTACCTTGACCCAAACTACAGAGTAATAAGGTCGCTCTGATCAACACCATTGTTATTTAAGTAGGTCACACTCTCCCACACTAAAGAGAAAGATAACTAGGTAACAGTGACCCAAACTACAGAGTAATAAGATTGCTCTGACCAACGCCATTGTTATTTAAGAAGGTCACACTCTCCCACACTAAAGAGTAAGATAACTAGGTAACAGTAACCCAAACTACAGAGTAATAAGGTCGCTCTGGCCAACACCATTGTTATATAAGAAGGTCACGCTCTCCCACACTAAAGAGTAAGATAACTAGGTAACAGTAACCCAAACTACAGAGTAATAAGGTCGCTCTGACCAACACCATTGTTATTTAAGTAGGTCACACTCTCTCACACTAAAGAGTAATATAACTAGGTTACCTTGACCCAAACTACAGAGTAATAAGGTCGCTCTGGTCAACACCATTGTTATTTAAGTAGGTCACACTCTCCCACACTAAAAAGTAAGATAACTAGGTAACAGTGACACAAACTACAGAGTAATAAGGTCGCTCTGGCCAACACCATTGTTATATAAGAAGGTCACACTCTCCCACACTAAAAAGTAATATAACTAGGTAACAGTGACCCAAACTACAGAGTAATAAGATCGCTCTGACCAACGCCATTGTTATTTAAGAAGGTCACACTCTCCCACACTAAAGAGTAAGATAACTAGGTAACAATGACCAAAACTACAGAGTAATAAGGTAGCTCTGGCCAACACCATAGTTATATAAGAAGGTCACGATCTCCCACACTAAAAAGAAAGATAACTAGGTAACAGTGACCAAAACTACAGAGAAATAAGGTCGCTCTGGCAACACCATTGTTATATGAGAAGGTCACGATCTCCCACACCAAAAAGTAAGATAACTAGGTGACAGTGACACAAACTACAGAGTAATAAGGTCGCTCTGGCCAACACCATTGTTATATAAGAAGGTCACGATCTCCCACACTAAAAAGTAAGATAACTAGGTAACAGTGACACAAACTACAGAGTAATAAGGTCGCTCTGGCCAACACCATTGTTATATAAGAAGGTCACACTCTCCCACACTAAAGAGTAATATAACTAGGTCACTTTGACCTACACTTGATAGTAAAATATTATTGAATGGTAATGAAAAAAACATAATTAGGTTGATGCTTGTAAATAAAAGGTATGATAATCCATAGTCATTCACACATGGAATTATCTGCTGATATTGAACATAAGAACAAAACTGGTTACCCGGTAGTTACTTCATAAATTATGTAAACAACATAAATGAACTGATGTATTAACTCATTCACCCCTGAAGACACATTTGAACTCTTCCAGTTCAAAGGTTGGAATAGTTCATTATGAAATTTCAGGGGTGAATGAGTTAAAATAGTAAATCACACTTGAAGTCTTATCAGTCTTTTATGAGTCAACTGGATGACTATGAATTTGTTTATGTTCTCATTCTAATCTAAATGTAATTTTTGATTGGATGTAAGTTTGAGAGTCTGTGTTTGCTGTAGATCATCTGGCAGGCAGGCATTCCCAGTCAGACCTCCTGTCTGTGCTGCTGGACCGTGGCAACAAGTTGCGGGACCAGATGATCATCTCCTCTGTAGACGAGGCTGAACCCCAGACCGGTGTGAAACAGACATACATGTCTTGTGGAGAAGAGGAACAAGGAAACAACTACACTGGCATGTCAGAGAGGTAGGTACTGGTTAATACAACCCATCGTGTCTAATATCTACTGGGAAGTCAACGAGAATCTTTCATTCCGAACATATCTTGCATAATATTTAAGTACACAGGCATTTTCAGAACCTTGCTATTTTCCAACAAACCATCAAAGAATTAATTTGCCTTTGGATAATGAAGGTAAAAGTATATTCAATTTGCCAGGTTTTGAGAAAGATGATGTTGTGTGTCATTCATCGTAAATGTGATATAATTTAACCACTCCAGGCGTAGTTCAATGGGAAGTCTACTGAAAGAGATTCTTAAGGCAGAAAGAGGAACAGCTGATGTCTCACAGACGGACTATGATCCTGTTGACTTGGTGTTTGGCAACCAACTGACAGACAACTTGCAGGTATGCTCACTACATTTTATAGTTATCCGAAGACATGCCATGGTATAACAGGGAATTTAAGGGTGACTTTTGGGGACTTATAAAGGGCTGCCCCTAGATAATTTCTGTTCTATTTTCCCCAAAATCATTGCAAAAATCATTGTATTTTTTCCCAAAATAATGTTTTTTGTGTGTGTGATATTTTTCCAAGTCACAAGGCACAGGCCCCTGTGGAATGGAGGTAGCAAAATCACTATATTTTGTTTAAGAAACAAAAATGAGGAACATATTTATGAGATTAATATTTTCTTTGTTACTCTTAACACGGGAAATTATGTTTTATTATGGCAGGGGTCTACTATTTCCTTCGTAATTCTAGGTACTGAAAATGATGGGAGGGAGTCCTAGATCTAGTGTGTCGCAGGACCTAGACCTGATGAGTGACCCTGGTGATCCTGTCCACAGCGAATCCATCCTTCAGGAACTATTCTACAAAAACCCGGTAAGTCAGTCCAATCCATGGAGCGATCTGTCCAATCCACAGAGAGATCGGTCCAATCCACAGAGAGATTAGTCCAATCCACGGAGAGATTAGTCCAATCCACGGAGAGATTAGTCCAATCCACAGAGAGATTAGTCCAATCCACGGGGAGATTAGTCCAATCCACGGAGAGATTAGTCCAATTCATCTAAAGATGATCTTTTAAAGAAATGTTCTACAAATCTCTGTCCTAATAAGTCTGCAGCTAGACTTTGAAAAGAAATCTTCTAACCCAGTCTACTTTATAACAAATGTTAAAAATTGTCACTAGTCCTGATATAAAATCTTCTAGCCCAGAGAATCATCAATGGAATTATTCATCTCAGCGCTCAAGAGGTATCTCCTTAGGTTGGTTTTTGTCCTCAGAAAAATTTCCCATTAAGGTTGGTTTCTGTCGTTTTGACTTTAAAGTAAGGTTAGATTGTTCCATTTCCTCATTTTGATATACTTTGTGTGTTATAGGACAGTGAGGTGAGTGAACTCAGTGAACTCAGTGGAGATGAGAACCCTGCCCCATTTAAGCAACAAAACGGTGAACTGCATACTTCAATGGAGGATCCAGCTAATGTTGTAAGTGTTTACATACAAAAAAAATGTTAATAAAACAGCAGATGATGGGCTAATTGATTGAGCCTCCTCTTAATTACAGCACTTTTATAAGTTTTTGTCAGTATTTTAATGAAGGCTGATATTGATAAAATTAATTATAATGTAGATTTTGATCCGTAATGCATAAAACCTCTGAACAAAGTTCAGTAACCAGTATTTTAAACACAATACAGAGGTTCATAGTTTGACCATAGTAATCAATGAATGTGTTACTGAGCAAAATAAAATCCTGACTGAATGAGAATCTGGATTTGGAGATCACACTAAAATTTGTCTATGTCACTAATCCAGAGGCCTCCATCAAGACGATCGTCTGTATCTAGCCTTAGTTTAGAGTTTCCTGAATATCTCCCATCTGAGGAGGTGGAGGTTAAAAAGAAGAAAAAGAGGAAAGAAGAAGCTTCAACGAAAGTTCCCAAGAGAAGGTCTCGTGTTAAGACGAAAGTGAAGGGAGGGAAAAAGCGGAGGCGGTCCCGCAGTAGTGCCCGTAGCAGTGCTAGCGAGGCCAGTGACAGCGAGTTGATGACTGCCCGCTCAGAGATGTCGCAGGTTTCCTTTGACATGCCAGCCTCGGACCTGGATGAACCAGAGGAAGGTAAGGTTTTATATATGCAGCAGTAAAAATTGTCTTGCCCTGCCCAAAATTCAGTGTGAAAATGTCATTTCAGAAATGACATTTTTGTAAAAAAAAAAATCACTATCATATACTTCATAAGGTTACAGAGTTCATCATCATACATTAATACCCTTTTGTTAGAGATGCTTTTTACAGCTTTATACTTCAGTTTTCTGGTATAAATATAAATGTAACAGATTCATAGCCTGTTTTACAGTTTTGTCTAATTTATAAGTTCCAGAGTGCCTGTATGTTTTAATTTCAAGCAAGATTATTCCAAATCAAGATAATAGACCAAAATTTCAATGAACAGATTATTAAAGGTATAAGAAATTAAGAATGACACTTGACAAATTGAAACAAAATCTGAAAATGAAACGATTGCTGTACTGATAGAATGTAAATATTATGGATTAAGATGCTTTATAAAGAATTCATAGTCTCAATTTTAAACAGGATTATCAGTAAAATGGCTATTCATATAATATTTACTGCTGATTATCAGATAAGATACTTTATCAAACGAATAAGTGCGTTGAATACAGTTGTGTGTTTAATTTATACCTGTACAGATAAGCCAGTGCGGAGAAAGCGAGTCGATGGCCTCAGTGTGGAGCGATTAACACTACTGGGGAGGGTACATGTGGCCAGAGTGATCATAGACGCCCTACACCTGGCAGGTGCTCAGGACCTCAACTCCTCCAAGAGGAAGAACAAGGCTGGAGGGAAACCGCCCAAACCCTCTCCAAAAGCCAAGAAGTCGGTGTAAGTTGATTTAAATATCAAACCTATAGATGGTGTGTAAATCCAAATTTTCTACACTAGTACTTAACTACCAAATCAGCCCATCATTTTATTTTAAAGTCTTAAATCGATATATAGAGGATCTGTCATAAGTTTCCCTTCATATTAGATTTATGATACAAGTTTTTGGATTTTTCATGATTGCGAGCCTCTGGCGAGCAAATATGAAAAATCCAAAACAATTATTTTCAGAGTGATATTACACACCTTACATAGACATAATTTATGTGATGGATTTATGACACTGCATCACATGATAGTCATATCATAAATAAATTTTATTGTTATTTTTAGCTTTTTGTTTCACATGTACATTGTAGAATGATATGCTCTAAAGGAAAAAAGACACATTTGTTTTAAATGGTAACTAGCCTGTACCATGTTTATTATTGACACTGAACGGTTTACATTTTCACCTCTTTCAGGACATACTTCATAGAGTACCAGTTTCCTGTTGTGGCCACTTCCAGGGATAAGTATTCACCTAATGCTATGGCAACCGAGGTGATGCGGGTGGCTTCCAAAAATTTGAAGGACGGAGGTAAATACACGATGAAAGACAAAGATTTAGATAAAGAATGAAAGTTAACAAAAACGTATGATTTTGTTTAAAGTTTTGGGTAAATTGCCTGCCTGTAAATAATGTCAGGTGGCACTTGTCAGAGGAAATTGTGAAATAAAGTTAAATATGACATTAACAGAAACACTTATTCTTTAAAAATAACCTGCATTATGTATAAAGTTCAGGTGTAGCTACATAATCAAGCTAGTTTAGTGAGGACAACTTTATAGTTAAATATCTAACATATACTTTGAAAGACAAAGTGAGAAGTAAGATTGACTGATATTTTATGATTTGTGATATGATGCTGGTTATGAATTTTTCTGACTTTATAATTTGTCCTATAAATGTCCATAAACATTCAAATTTCTTTGGTGCAGTGGTCAGCTTCAACCATCGCTCTGTGTTTCCCATCATGTTTGATGGTAGTGCTGTGGAGAAGTGGTGGAAGTCTGCTCTCATCTTTAAGCTGTTCTCGCGTACTGCAGGACAAAAAGTGGTGAGTCTATTTTGTGTATGTTTACGGGATAACCCTACCATATTTTAAAATTTGTGGCAGTATATCGTGAATATACTGTCGCTAATTAAGTTTTACCACCAGTAAAACAAATATTTTCGACAGTATAATCACGATGCACAGCCGCGAATTTCAAAATACAATAGGGTTATCCCCACTCTAATTCATATCAACCAAAACCACCGGCTCTGGATTGGCGACGTCAGAAATATTCAAAGTGAGGCGGAATAACGTTGACCTTTCAGCGTCAAGCTATTGTTTGTGACATCATGAATAATCAATTTCATGATGTATAAGGGTCAGTCGGGGTCATCAACGTCATTAACAATCGCCATCCGGGCTTCATATGCCAATGAGAAATTTGAGGACGCTATAGATTTTGGAATAGCCATTGTCAAAGCTACATATTCAAAAGTACTGATAATTTACGTTACATATTCCATCACCATACCCCGAAAAGGTATGAATTTTGTAATCTTTATCTTTATGTGATATGAATTCTTAAAATAAATGAAAAAAGACTCTTCTATGTTTAATTTTTTGGAGAGCACAACACTTGACACAGCCAAAAATAAGCCTCTATACAGGTGCTATGAGTTATTGAGATACGTGTAACAAACACTGTCTGTATTATGAAAAGTTCTTTTTACACAACCAAAAAGAGTTTCGATGACTAGTAAGGTATGTACACTTTCACTTTCATCAGACAAATGACCAGTGAAGCATATGTACAAAATTGTGAAGAAGTTGTCCACAAAATTGATGTCGATTCGGTTACGCTGTAAGCGTATGTGCAATATACGTACACATTTTACACCTATGTGTGCATACGCTTCACTGGTCATTTGTCTGATGAAGGTGACAGTGTACATACCTTACCAGTCATCGAAATGTCACATAGAGTCTCTTATTGGTTGTGTAAAAAGAACTTTTCATAATCCATACTTACCAACCTAAAGAAAATGTTTAGAGATAAAAAAAAACCTGTATATATACTGTATGTAAACACTGTGTTTCGTGGGTAGCCAACGTTGGTGGGCAGCTGTGGGATCCCGCTCAAAAGCATTCTACGGTCAGACAACCTACAAGTTGGCCGAGAGCTGGAAATCAGGGAAAGTGGACGCAACTCGTCCATAAATTCCTCACTCCGGGGCAGTCTTGACACCTTCTACGGCTCACTTAAGGTAAGCATGATATATTTTGGGGGGAGGGGATATCTTTTGATAGAGAAAACGTGCTATTTTAGTAATTTATTATTATAGTGTATGTTCCATATGTTGTATTATTTGTTTCTGTGTTAAAGGTGTCCATAGAACTCGCATCAGACAGTAAAGATTTCTCCTCTGCCCTTGCCAGAGCCAAACTGGCAGAAATGAGTGGGAGGGCCAAGTTTGTGCCGATACCTCAGACCGTGCCCCCTCCCCCTCCCCCGCCTGTACAGTTAGATAAACCACCACTACCCCCAGACTTTATACCTAGTGCTCAAAATACTCAGCTGTCTTCAACGGTGCTACCAAATTATACCTCACATGTAAATACAGGTAAGTCTTTTTTGTAAAATCTTACCTCACAAATAAGTACAGTACCTTGTAAGGCCTGCATATACCAGAAATGTTACATTTAAAAACAGACAAACTGTTGTTTCGAACAGGCCCCTGGTTACTGCCAAACCATTGATGGCTGGTTTCTGCCACAACACATTAAAAAAAACGCATGTTATTTGATATTGCCTATCAGAACTAAATTGTCCATAAAACCTTATGTTAGAATGCAAGTCTGATGTTAAGAAGCATTTTTGAAGAAGAACCATATTAATAAGGTTAAACATCTAATCATCTGCTTTATAGTAAAAATTTAATGGACTTCAGTGATGAAATCTATAGCAGTGTGGAAGAAATATTTCTTTTAAGAGAGACACATTGTTTAGTGTGATATTATGAACACAACTGTGTTGAAAGTAATTAGGAGAAAGTAAAGACAGGTGATAATGAAGTTGTTTATTTTCTGTGTGACAGATACACAGACTGCCAGTCTGGGACCTCAGTTACCTGCCCCTGGTCTGCCCCAACCTCCTTATTTGGAGCCCTACCACATGGCCTCACAAGCCAATGCAGAGGTAAGTCAACTGGAGTTAACAGAATTGATTAAACTACGCCTATGGACAAATTTCTCAATCACAAAATTCTTTAAAAAAATGAAACGCTTTTTTAACCATGAGTTCATGATGAAATCACATTGTTACATGTATGAAAAATCACAATTGCTGTTATTGTTGCCTATCAGTAATTGATTTGAAGGTGTTACAACATTGAATGATAAATAATAATTGCAGACTTCTTCTGACAGAAAAAAATACCTTATAGTATACATCATTTATTATGATTGTTTTGTTCACTCGACAATCACTGTAAGTCACAAAATTCCATCTTATTTACGGTGGATTGTTTTATGTATTTATTCATTATTCTGTTTATAATCTCACAAAGTGCTATGTTTTCAGTTGATCTCTGCTCCTTATGTTTGGAATAAAAATTAATTTAACCCTTTCACCCCTAGTTAACTTTAGTAGACTCTACCATACATTGATCTGGATGAGTCCATTATGGTCTACAGTGGTGAAAGGGTTAATAAACATTCTGAAATATGCAGGCTAACCATTCTTGTTATTATCCACGACAGGCCATGACTCTGCACACATTACTGCTGATACCGGAGGGTCACAACATCTCGCTACAGGGTATCCCATCCCTGTCATCCATCAAACGACACCCTGTCTTCCCACCCCAACCTCACACCTTATCTAGTGAAGGTCAGTGTTTATCTCATTCAGAATTACATACAAATCAATAATCCATTATTAAGTTGTATACAGTATTTTGCTGTTGAGCAAGATACTTTAAACGGTGCTATAAAAAGCTTAAGTGATGTTATGATTGTACTATTTTCAAACGTCTGGCAGCTTGTTGTTATAACAGATCAATCCTTGAAATATATTTTGAAAAATTGGCAATATTTTGAAAGATGTATTATGACAATTCCTCGACCAAGTTCACAAAAGTACATATGTTTTTTAAGGTTCATAAGACACTTTTAAACTACCTAATACTGTTCATGCATTTTCACCAAACTTTGTGATGTCAATGCCAAGCTCAAGTTTGAAGCTGACTGAAGTTTTTGTATTTTAATGACATTACATGTTCTTCCTTGATTCTGATTGGTTATTGTGTTCTGGACAATATTTTACTTGCCACTGTATGGTTCTTGGTTCTGAATTTGGTACATTGTTGAAAATGTCAATATTCAGGCCATGAAGATGGTTTAGATATATATTCATATTTAGTGAGATTGCATGTATTTCATCAATTGTACTTGATTGATGATTTCCTGACATAATTTAACTCATTCCCCCCTGAAATTTCATAATGAACTATTCCAACCTTTGAATTGGATGAGTTCAAATGTGTCAACAGGGGTGAATGAGTTATAAAATATGATACATATATGCAAGCACATCATAGCGAAGAACATGTACATAATTCCAGGAATTTGCTTTTCAAATCAACAGTTACTGTGATTTTTGTAGGAATGAAATCTCGGGATATGAACACCAGGAATACCTACCTTGTGTGTCGGATGTTCTGGTGCAACGATGCTGTCCACTCCAATGTCTGTTGGGGAACATTTGAACCCCAATTCAACTTTGGACAGGTATTTGACATATTATTAGCGTGTTTCTACTTATATGCAATTTGGGTTACGCTTGGCAACCAGGCAGCCTCTTGATCAGCATCCCTTTCTTTCTTGCTGGTGTAGACAGCAGGAAAACTACGATCATGTGAGCCGACATTGTTTGAGGATATGGAGCACTGCCTTGAATATTTCAATAAACTCATTCACCCCTGAAGTTTCATAATGAATTATTCCAACCTTTGAATTGGAAGAGTTCAAGTGTGTCTTTAGGGGGGAATGAGTTAGTAAACTACAGAGGGATAGATATAATTTATTTACTTTACCAGTTAAAAATATGTTTTAAAACTTATTATTAAAACTTGTTATAACCCATATTGATATCTGTACATTGTGGTACGATTGATGTTGATGTTTCCCGTGTTGATACAGATTGCCCCTGTGTTGTTGTCCGGGTCCTTATTGGAGAGGATGAGGAACAACTTCATGGTGGTAGAAGTCTGGGACAAGAAGACATCTGCTGAGAATGACCAGGTAAACTCCATGTGTACTTTCTCCACCTAGTAAATTCAATGCTTATGGAGTACTGTTTAGCGGTTATATTTCGCGGTGGTTTTAATTTTTCTATGTTCGTGATTTGACTAATATCTGCGAATCCTAAACACCAGCGAAATTATCGAAAATGTTAACCACTTTAACAGACCTTATCACAACATGTTGAAAAAACTTATAACCCAACACTGTTATGCAAGCTTAAATGAAATTAAATCAGATTATCACCGGACAACTGAGAAGTTCATGTAAAAACAACACTTACATATAAGTGGTCACAACATATTTATGTGTACAAAGTAGGTGATTAATTGATTACAGTTTACTCCTACAAAGGTACATACCCATTTGAGTTTCTTTCGAGTGAAGTCACTGGTGGATGACGACACTCGGGATCAGTGTTTTTAAACAGTTTACCTGTATTTCGAGGTTTAACCCTGAAATGATGACACTCAAAATACGACACATGGGATTGGGGTGCACAGCGAAATTTAACCCCCGCAAATATGTACTAAATACGAAATCGCAAAATATTGACCCCCCCCCCAAATTTAAAGCACTGTACAGTAAAAGTTTATCCTTGTAAAAGATACCTTTCGTATGTATCACTGATTTGTCTTGACAGCATAAAGAATTAGTTGTGTGTGCTTTAAAGTTTTACGGACAATAAATTTCTTGTTAAATTCAAATTGAAATTTGCGAGTGTCCAAGTGTTGAATTTGAATAAAATTTCTACGAATATTTTTAAGCACATAAAACTTTTGACTTTTGAGTTTGACTTGACTCTATTTAAATATAGTTACTGTTTTATGTTATTGTTTTACAGTTAATTGGAATCGTCAAATTGAGCTTACATCAGTTTTATATGTCCTTTCGAGACAACAAGATATCCAATGCCTTACTGAAATCACAGGTAATTACCAACTGAAAGGACGCAAATATTTCTGTCATTGAAGAGGAATAAAATTCAGACGTGCACATTTCATTGTTTAAACTTTAATAAGCTTGCTATGTCAAAATTGTTTGCTTTTGCTTAACCAAAAGACAGTTTGTCACAAGGAAAGTTCAGTTCAAGCATGTTTGAAAAGAGAATTCTCTGAATCAAATTCTTTCAAGTAATTAGATCTTGGTCATATTTTATCTCGATTTGAATGTCTGCCTCATTTTTTCCCCAAAGTATCCTGTGATATCAGTGGACAATTACCTGCCCATTGTGGACCCTATGAGTGGGTCACAGTTTGGTCAGCTGAAGGTTCTACTGGCCATGGGCTCCGGGGAACAGGTTACGGAACTACAGCAGCTCAAACTGGATGGTCCGATGGTGAGGCCACCAGAACGGCCACAACACTTCTTGGAAAGGTATGTGAGCATTGAAAGTGTGTTTGATCTACTGGAATCTATGACCAGACCGGTCAGTTTACTATTTTAATGTCTTTTATATACACCCACACTCTACCCCAGCAGAGTTATATATATTTTTTTAGGTTTTTAAGTAGTCACTCTGTCTATTTAGTAGTCTGGCTGTGGATCGTGTTTTAGCCTGTAACTTCTGAACCACTGAACATTGTCTGCTGTTTCTTAAAGATTTGCTCAGTGACAAAAAGGGTGTTCCTTGTTCCACGCACAGATTTTTTTAACTGAAGTTCACAAAAAGCAGGTTTCCCGGAGGCCCAATCTGCTGTGCCTTCCTCTTTCGACCCTGCATCCAATGCTCATTTTCGTCCAGTTTTAAAAGCCAATATTTACCATTTTTTTCCCCGACAAATTGTTGAATTTCAATGTTTCTTATAGCAATTGGTCAAGTATTTTAATGCTCATTTTCGCCCTGTTTTAAAAGCCAGTATTTACCTTTTTCCCCCACAAATTGTTGAATTTCAACATTTCTTAAAGCAATTGGTCAAGTATCTTAATGCTCATTTTCGTCCTGTTTTAAAAGCCAATATTTACCTTTTTCCCCCACAAATGTTGAATTTCAATGTTTCTTAAAGCAATTGGTCAAGTATCTGTATGTCTGTGGTAGCATTATTATATCATGCTCCCAACACACTTAAGTATCGATACTTGCCATTACCCTATTGTGCTGCAGGGTAATTCAGATTGTGATCAAGAAGTCATCACAATGTGGTGATAAAAACATAAAGGATATTGTTTTATGTCTGTGTGACTTAAAGATGCATCCCAGAGTTCACAGCTGTGCATGGCCGACTCTGTAATATTTTTGGGGAGGTCAAAGGTCAAATCACTTCAATTGATATCAGGATTGTACCACTTTGAATGCTCAGACTTATTATCTTATGAAATATGATCATTGATTATGACAAGACAATATGTTTTGTATTACATGCCTGTCCATTAATACTTGTATTAAAAGCACCATGTTTCTATATTGTAATTTTATAACCACTGACCAATTCATTATATGCTGAAATTTAGTTAATAGTTTTGTGTGTTATGACTTGAGGGTAAATAACGTACTAAAAATATTTCTATGTTGCCTAGATAAATGTTTTAACATGATTGAAATGTCATAGAGGCATTGTGAGTCATATATCACATATTACCCTCAGAAGTTTAATGGGAAGTAAAGCTAATTTGGTATGGGGCATCCCTGGGCTAAGAGGTGCACTGAAGTTTGTGCTACAGGTAGAACAAATGTAAATGTTTCCTACAAAGCTGTAAGCCACTGTTTATATTGTAGGGAGGACATGATGAGACAAGGCAGCCTTGCTCCAGTGTACAGCCAGCCAAGAGCAGATAATTCTGGTAAGGATGCAGTCCAGAAGGACATGTTACATTTTATGTAAATATTAGGTTTTATACTTTGTAAACTTTGTTAAAAAAGGCAATAAAATGACTGTATGTCGGTGGAAAGGAAATTTCTTCACCCTTGAAAAGAAAAATAACAATTGGTTAATGTGCTGTTTTATCTTACAGAGGAAAACATTTTTACGTTTTGATAGATACATGTAAAGCATGTTCTTATTGACATCACAATTGATATTTTGACAGTGGAACACATATTTGAGGTGGTGATAGAAGGTATCCGTGGCCTGGCTCTATTTGACAACATGATCTGGGGCGAGGCTGACTGTTTTATACAGTATCACTTCCCAGTACAGCCACCCTCCGACCAGCCGGGTACAGGGCCTGCCAACGATGGTAAATACATGTACTACACAGGTTTAATGTATAAACATATTCCTCCTGACTTAGCAGAAATCAAAATCACGAATGTGTCTTCCTTGATACTGGGAATCCACCAACTACAACATACTTAGTACACGGGGGGAAATATAGCTTAGCTTTAACCCTCTCACCACTGTAGACCATAATGGACTCATCCAGATCAATGCATGGTAGAGTCTACTAAAGTTACATAGGGGTTAAAAGGTTAATTTTGCAATGTGGCAGCTTCTTATCTAGATTGCAAACTTTTGAATTTGGTAATATTTCTATCTTTTGCATACCGAATCTTGCTGACATGAGAAAGTTCCCTAGAGTATTAATTGACAGAGTAAGCTATTAGTTTCCTGGCAACAGGAAGCGGCTTACAGGTACAAAGGAATATCAAGTTAGGTTCATAATAATATTAAATAATAATAAACTTTATTTATTGAGGATTAAAAACCTGATTTAGCCAAAGGCTAATCTCCCTCAGGTTCCTCCCACAGTTACTAATTACAAGTTTAGAAATGGTTGACAGTTTTCATATCGGGGTAACTTTGTATATCTTGTCATGTTTTCAAATATAACAACACAAGTCTGGTCCTTCATGATGTTCTGGAATTTTGTGTTAAACTTAGAGACAGTTTATGACATTGGATGGATGTAATATGTGTGTTTACCATACTGGATGAAAGATCACAAAAATTTTAATTTACCAAATATTTGACTTGTGAAAAAATGCTCAAATGTCAATTATTTCACACCAGTTCAATTGCAATCCGATCCAGGTATACCCAGTATGAAATCGTTCCGGTCTGCTACAACTCTTTGTATTCCTGATCCTACATTTAATGATATTACACGTCACAGAATAGTGCTATCCCAGGGGACTCCGGTACAGCGGCAGTTACTTACAGGTAAGTCGTCCAACCTTATAACAAGAAGCATATTTGCATATTTGTGACATACTAACATGTAGCAATATTTATAATTTTAAAACCGTTTGATATAAATACTATTTTGTTCAAATAAATACTGTTAACACATTCACCCCTGAAATTTCATAATGAACTATTCCAACCTTTGAATTGGAAGAGTTCAAATCTGTCTTCAGGGGTGAATGAGTTAAGTTAACATAAACAATGTTTTACCTGTTGCCTAGTGTCTGACATATACCAAGAGTTAAACCAACTTTCTTTACCTTCACAGCCTGTGCCGGAGCGGGAGGAGGCAGTGGGGGTGTGCCGTTTGAAGTGTGGTGTCGGTACTACCACCCCAACATAAGGGACCAGTGTATAGCTAAGGTACGCTCCACTACTCACATAATAACAAATAGGAACCAACATCAGTTCATGTCATGTCATAAACAGAACTTGTAAAAAGAGCAGAATTACTGAAGAAATAACTTGATCACCGATCGAAAAAAAGTTTAATTGCAGCCTTGATGATTCAGTCTCTTGACAGTAAAATAAATAATGACTTGTATAAAAAGTTCTTTTGTCAAAGTGTTCTTGTAGATATTATGCTGTAATTCAGGGTAAGATGAAGGGTGTTGTTGAACTCTGTATATGAACATGATGGTAAATTTCAGGCCAGTCTGCCCCTTGCAAAGCTGTGTGCCATGGTGACCATGCAGAAGAGAGGCGAGTCATCAGTGCAGTCATTTGCTCTCCCACTTAAACAAGTGGCAGTGGATACAGAGTTTTCAGATGCCAGGGCAAAATCTCAGGTACCATATATATAGCAACACATAAGATTGAAATCTCAGCCAACTGCTCCATGGTACATTTAACAGGGATAGAAGGGATACATCTGGTAACCGAAAGCTCCGTACAATCTACAAAAGCATAAGAGACAAAATATCAGATGATGAAAATCTACATTAAACAGGAATAATAGGCGGCACGGTAGTCTAGCGGTAGAACATCAGGCTCGTGACCAAAGGGTTGCGGGTTAGAGTCATGTCACGGCACTGTGTTGTATTTTTGAGCTAGATACTTTACTCTGCTTGTTCCAGTCTACTCAGCTGTAAATGAGTTTACGTGGTTGGGCAGTGCTAGAATTGTTGAATGCTACATGTAGCTGTGAGCGCCGAAATGGCAGCACCGGCTGTATGGTCCCCAGGGAGTTTAGAAAGATATTGGCTGGTTGCAAAGGCCCTATAACCACAGATAATAATTTGTGAACCACTTTGAGACAGCCTACGAACTAGATTGTGATAAAGCGGTAGATAAGAACCTCAATTTATTATTATTAAAATCTCAGATGATATAAATCTGCGTTCAACAGGAATAGCAGTGAAATTATCGGTTGCAGATAGCAACATTGTATACATCCAGAAAAATTCCTTAAAGTAGTCTTTTTAACTTTTTTTTTACTGCTTTTTACTGGATATCATGTATTTTAGCACACTGTATAATCTTATGCAAGTTATAGCGACTGACACTAGATAAAGTTTGTGGGTACTTGTTTCGTTAAATTTTCAGTGTATCTGTATGATTTGATAAATAAAAGTCTAGAGTCTACTATATGATTATCTACTTATTTAATCCCCTTCATGCGGTGTCGCACATAAGGCCATCACCAGAGACTTTCAGTACTAGAGTAGTGCTGTCTGTCTTGGAACCATCGTTGTACTTGTCCCCACGGCCATCCTGCTTCCTTCATTTCCTTCTCGACCGACAGCCTCCATGTTTCCAGGAATATTGTCCATGAATCCATTTTCATTCTTGAGCTCTTCTCACTGACAATATACTGTAGTGCATGCTTTACCTTTTCTTCATCAGAATATCTTGTCTCTTGCAGGTGAAAGAATCTGGACTTATGGATGTTACAATACACTACAAAACACAAAATATACAGGTCAGTGCCAAATTGTGTGTAAAGCGAAACCTGTCTTATCTAACCACTGAGTATTCCAGCATCTTGTAAAATCCAGCATAACGATGACATGTAATTCCATTTCTTGTGAAAAAGTCACATAAGACTTGTTGTTTATTCAGAAATCCTGTCTAATCTGACCAGTAGGTAGTGACCAAAAGGGTGTCAAACTAGACAGGTTTTACTGTTATTCAAACAATGTTAATTATCTTAAAATAAAGAAAAAAAGAGGCAAGTCCATGTGGGCCTACAATTGTTGTATGTGAAAAGCTCAATAAATATTTAAATTCAATTTTAAACTTTCTAGATTCCCTTTTCAGGGACTCTACATAGTGAATTGATGAGTAGATTATTTAAATATATAGATATGAATATTTTACTTTTTTACTGAGGTAACTTCATTGAACAGAACTTTTTACTGGTGTTGGTGGGTATCTATCTCATGGATTGATTCAGTGTATACGTGATTGAAGATGAATGAGAATATGCTAATGATTGTTTCTTCCTTTACAGAGTGAACAGAACCAAGCGGCCAATAAGAATCTGTCGGGCGCCCAGATTTGTATATCTGTTGGCGTCATCAGGGCCTCTGGACTCAAGGTGAGTCTGCATAGGGTGTGCGAATATCTGTAATTATACTAAAAATGCCTCGGATACAGTGATGGACAATTTTGTAGTGATTGAAATAAATTCATGACAATATCTAAGAAATAAGTCATACCAGCTCCACCTGGTTAAGAAAAGTGATGAATATTCCTGAGGAATGAGTCAATCCAAATTTCCGTAGATGCTGTAACTAGAGAGATGATGCTCATTTTGGAGTAACACTTGGTGAATTTATTAGATTATTGCATTGGTATTTGTTGTCTTCACATATCTTTCCAAAACATTTAAAAAAAAAAACAACCATGTATTGACTATAATGAAATAGGTCAATCCAATTCCTAAGAACAAAAGGTTAATTGTAATCTGAAAGTGACTGTTCTTGATTGAGATGTGACAGAGTTACCTTTTCCTGATCGAGATGTGACAGAGTTACCTTTTCTTGATTGAGATGTGACAGAGTTACCTTTTTTTTTCATTGAGATGTGACAGAGTTACCTTTTCTTGATTGAGATTTGACAGACTTACCTTTTCTTTGATCGAGTGGTGACAGAGTTACCTTTTCTTGATTGAGATGTGAAAGAGTTACCTTTTCTTGATTGAGATGTGACAGAGTTACCTTTTCTTTGATTGAGATTTGACAGGGTTACCTTTTCTTGATCGAGATGTGACAGAGTTATTTATTCTTGATTGAGATGTGACAGATTTACCTTTTCTTGATTGAGATATGACAAAGTAACCTTCCCTGACTTTCAGGCTGCTGCTGAAGCGATTGCCCGTCTGGACTCTGGGATGCAGTACCCTGCAGAGGTTGGCGTCAACACCTACATTAAGATCCGCATGTCATTCCTACCAACAGAGGTATGATCTTGACAACACATTCTTAACCAAACATCTTTTGTATTGATAAATATGGGCTGTTCTAGATATAGAGTTTTTTACCAGGGGGAATTTTGTGGAGTTTTAATTTTGCAATATGGCTGCTCAATATCTAGATTGAATAGTGTGATAGCATGATGCCAATATTTCTAACTTTTGTTATTTTGCATACTGATAATTGACTATAAGAACATTAATATTATATAATAATAATAATTGGAAATTTACCCATTGTCTGTAAATAATTTCCCTAATTTGAATAGTGTCTGAGAATTTGCATATTTTGTGAAATTGATAAAAAAAAAAGTCACTAAAACAGTCAAGGTGAAGTAATATACAATTTAATAAGAAAGAATGAGTTCATGTAGATCTAATTACACGTTAACAAAAACTTTGTATTTCATGACTTTAGTGTAAAATGGGCTATTATTCCTCTAAACCACAAAAACTTGCCCCCAAAACATTGATTGTTCCCTGTGATAGATAATGTATTCTCTTACCCTGGACAGGTGTATATACACTTTTACAGGTGTGAGATATCCTTTTCTCACCCTAGGGTTGAGATGGGGGGATTCCCCTATTCATGACAATAGTATGGGGGGATTCCCCTATTCATAACAATAGTATGACATCACGTCAAAAATACAATGACGTCACATCAACAATCCATCAACGTCATGTCAACCCTGGACTTAGTCTGTAACGCTAACATTACATTATGTATATGATACACAATGGGAGAACAGGGTAAGAGAAAAAGAATCATTCATCCCCTTGGGGGTGAGACAGGGGAATCTCGACCCTCGGGGAAAGCCTCGTGTTCGGCAACTTAAGAATCTTCCCCCTCGGGTTGAGACTCCCGTATCTCACTGCCAAGGAGGTGAGAGATTCTATTAGGTTTGAACATCATCCATCTGAAATAACTTGTTTGACAGGATGAGAGGATAACGAGGACCATTGCCAGGACATTTGCTCCGGAGTTTTCCCACCACATGGACTTTCCTTGTCCTCTGTTGTGGACAGAAGCAGACAATGATGCCCTGGCTCTGGCTGAGATCCTGGAGACCGCTGAGCTGACGCTGGAGATGTGGCACCAGGTCCCTGGGCTGTCGTCTGGTTAGTAGCACAGTTTGAAGGTTGTACATTAGGATACATGCTCTGTTAGTTGGTATTTGATATATTTTTCTATCACATAATGTAGTGTGTTATCCAGTGAATATACCCATGTCATATTTTTTGGCGTATTAACCCCTGTAGTATGACCGATCAGCCCTGTGATTGGTTGTAAGTTTCAATCGTTTCAATTGTGACGTCACGCCTAGGACAAATACATGACGTCCCAGACTTACGAACTGGAGTCAAAATGGCGGCATTTTACATTTCAAGGTTGCATGCAAATTGTCGTTTTACACGAACAAACACCACAAATCTTAAGTTAGATTATGTGATAAAAAAGATCTTGCACTCGTTTTCATTTCAAATTAGATTTATGAAACTTGTCACAAATTTTTCATTTTAGCTCGCCTAAACTCTTAGACTTGTTTCATAAATCTTGTATGAAATGGAAACTCACGTAAGATCCTATATAAATGACTGACCTCACCAGTAATGGATGCAATGATGCAGCCAGTTTATATCTGAATCTTTCACAAACCATGAGACTATTTTTACTCAGTGCTTCAGAAGCATTGGGTAGTTGGACATGTTATAGGTTAGGTAATAATACTTGATGTTACGGCCGCCACCACCACTGATGTTATTATGATTTGATTTTGATTTTAGTATCAGACTGTTGGAACCCGAGACATAAAGATGAGAAAAACAGTTTAAATGTTGTTTTGAATTTCATAAACCTTATTTAAACACTAAATTAAACTTCAAATAGATTTATTTAACAATATGTTTGTTCAGCCAACCACAACAATTCCAAACTCACCTGGTATTGAAGTTAATACCAGTTATTATTTAAACTTATTGGTGATTTTTTTTCATTCAAAACATATTTTCAGGAAGAAGAGTGTTGTTTTTAATTGGTAGTGGATTAAAAATCTTAAGTTATGTATAGTTTCTAATGGGTGTTTTTGTAGATTTAGACAGACAGATTGCTCAGCAGACCACCCACGAGGTCCAAGGTCGGCGCCTAGTGGAGAAAACACAGGATGTGTTACTCGGAACTGCAACACTGTCTCTGGCCGGTCTCCTCACCAACCGTACAGGTAAGAACATGTTACTAGGAACTACAACACTGTAATACCTCTTCCTCGTCCTTGGAGAAAGGCTTAGAGTTAGAGCTGTCACGATACACTTTACCCACGATTCGATACGTATCTCGATATTTGTACCACGATTCGATTATTTCGATTCAATACACCTTTATTTTAAAATATAAACAAACTGAGATATATAAGCCGTCGATACACGGGAACCCAAAGTGTTTCCACACTTTTGATTTGAAGCTTTCCGGAGCATCACAAATTTTTATTTCCTTACTCAGTCCGCCATTTTGTTATGAATACTTTGTGAAAATTGTATCCTCGCAGCCGATTGGCTGAGGGTTCAGAGATCAGCCAATGAAATTGAACGTCTCAGAGACGTTTCGGCTGAAGCCGCATACACTAATATTCAGATTGTCACGTATCGAAAATCTGGAAAAATCTATCGTGAATCAAATCGAACATAAATAATCGCGGTACAAGTGCATCGCAGTGAATCGTGACGCCTCTACTTAGACTACGGATTCAGTTTTGGATCTTAATCAATACCCCCATCTGATTATAATATTGTCTTCTATTTAGTTGTGTTATTAAACTATGAAGCAAAATCTTCATTTGGACCTAGAAATTACATATTAAATTAAGTGCGATGAAAGATCACTGAAATGAAGCCTATTTCGGTTACACAACAATCATCATTGATCATTCTCCTTAAGTTTTTGCGTATCTGAGTAAATAAACTCATGTAATCATAAGTACTATCAGTTTATCTTCAATAAGATTCATCAGTTTGGAAATATGTGATATCAATTTTTTTTTACTTTTTACACAATGTACGTATTAAACGTGTTGCAACGTCCCTGGCTGGTCCCTTTGTCAAACTAAAACAGTGCATGACAAAGGGACCAGTCGGTCTTGAAACGTTGCGACACGTTTTACATTTTACACAAACAATCAGTGTAATTCTGATTGTACACTGTTCTGTAATGTTGCCTTTATTCCAGGTATCAACGGGTGGTTCGCTGTCAACCTGCCCTTGATTGGCTGGCGACAGGATGCCAGTCAGGCAGAAGATGAGGAGGACAGGACTGTACCTTGTAACCAGGGCCTAGAACGTGTTGTGGGTGGAGTCGAGCTGTCAGTCAAGTTTGCCCACCACAACGACCGTGACCGTGTGGTCCATGCCGCTCGAGGAGTGGGGTGGTCGCCAGTTGACTTGGACGTGGAGGATGAGGAGGACTGGCAGAGTGATGGTACGAGAACTTGATGTTGTATTAAGGATAAAAATGCATCTTTTTAACCCTTTCACCACTGTAGACCATAATGGACTCATCCAGATCAATGCATGGGGGAGTCTACTAAAGTTGCATAGGGATGAAAGGGTTAACATGACAGTTGCAACACAGTTCCATTCAAATATATTCTTCATTATGTGGTAACACATTTTGGAGAATACCTTTTTAAGGAACCTTGTTTCATAACATCATATGTATATGTGATATATGTAACTATTAACAAAAGGGAGATTTTGTAATGTTGAACACAGATATAGAGGGATGTGTTGTTAGTTACAGATAACCGAACATGTTATTGGTTGTAGATGAGGGATGCGGTCAGTACCACCAGATCACTGTGTGTATGGATCAGGTGAGCTTCCCTATACAGAACGCCCTGATAGCTGGACAGACCAATCTGGACAAAACTGCCCGGTGCTACATCCGATACAAAGTCTACGATAGAAGTAAGTAATGATGATTTTGTATCCGAATAGTGAGTAAATATCATCCTAACTCAAGTTTTATTAATCTGTCACTGTATTTCAGTGAACTCATTTACCCCTGAAGACATATTTGAACCCTTCCGATTCAAAGGTTGAAAGAGTCCATTAGAAAATTTCAGGGATGAATGAGTTAAATAAGGTACCCCCTCATGATTTATTTGTGAAACATCCATTTCTATTCTTTAAATCTTTAAAACAATTTGGAAAACTGACATTGAGCCAAGACAAAAAGGAGCTTTACATTGCCGTAAGATAAAAAAAATCCTATGTCAAATATTTGATCTAAAATCCTTTTGATGACAGAGACAAAACACAAAATTAATGTATGATATAATTTGTGTATATGGATGTTTTGATAGCTTTGATAAAAGGCATAGCAAAATTTGTTTTTTGACAGAAGGGTACTAGGTGGATGGAGTTAAGCATCAATTGAAAGTGGCAATGTTTTGAGTTTGATTGATGACAGATTTGTATTGACACATATTTCACTATAAAATACATATTTAATGTTGTCTACAGGTGCAGTGGTGTCGAGGAGTGTTAAGTGTCGGATACTAGACACAGGCTATATCCTGTCTCACTGTGATCACAAACACGAATTCCAGATACCAATCAGCTCTCCATTTAAATGGTAAGTTCTATCGTCAGTGTGTAGATTTTAACAGCCTTCATGCTTTATTGTCAGAGTGCGAGGCCTACAGGCGCCTGGTACTGGACGTATGTTGGGTTTTTTTCTCTCCAGGAACTCCGGCTTACCTCCACCACCAAATCCTGGCACGTCCTTAAATGACCCTAGCTGTTAATAGGACGTGAAACACAAACAAACCAAACCAACCAAACCAAGCTTTATCGTCCTTACTATTGTTAAATGGGAAATATAGTATTACCAATTCCTGTTCCATCCCCCTTGCGATTCATCATCATAACAATGCCAATTGCCTTTCTTTGATAACAGTTTTTTTCCCAAGTTTAAACAAAGGTCAAATATGAGAATACCTCGAATAAAACTAAAGGTCCCAAGTGGGTCCCAAGTGGGTCCCAAGGTCAGTGCCAAGGTCTTATTTTATAGGTCAACCACAGGGTCAAGGAGGTATAATGTCTATACAGACATTTTCTAGTTTCTGATTATACAGCTTTTCAGTAAAAACTCAAGTGATCATATGACATTCGTTGTGACCTGGGGCCTGTTCATTTATGTGGACCAACAGGTTTTTATACGGCCGTCAAATTTGACGGAAGTATTATGGTATGGGGTTGTCCATCCGTCCAGCGTAATTTTTGTTTGTCCGGCAATCTCCTCCTACATTTTTCGACCGATTTCTTTGAAACTTGGTATACATTATAATCATGATATGAAGTTGTGTCTCCCTTAAAAGAATTTTGATTGACAATTTTTCCAAAAGTTATTGCCCTTTGTTTATTTCAGTATTTGATTTTTTGTCCGGCAATCTCCTCCTACCTTTTTTGACAGATTTCATTGAAACTTAATAGGCTAAATAATCATGATATGTTGTTGTGTTTCCTTGAAAAGAATTTTGAATCACCAATTTTTGCAAAGGTTATTGCCCTTTGTTTATTTCAGTATTTGATTTTTGTCCGGCAATCTCCTCCTACATTTTTTAACAGATCTCTTTGAAACTTGGTATACATTATAAGCATGATATGAAGTTGTGTTTCTCTTAACAGAATTTTGATTCGACAATTTTTGCAAAAGTTATTGCCCTTTGTTCATTTCAGTATTTGATTTTTTGTCCGGAGATTTTCTTCTACATTTTTTTATAGCATGTCAGCTAACCACTCTTAGAATGATGCAGATCTTATTTCAATGTAAGAAAGAATATAACACTATATGGCATTCGACAGGCGTATATTGTTCCACCCCGCGATACTCTTGTATCTCTTGTTGTACTTTTTGAAATGTAATATTTCAGGGGTAAGACCTAATGGACCAGCTGTAAAGGTTAAATCAGGCCTTTGTAATCTTTTCCAAACCTCAACAGAAAACAACATAAAATCACTAGGTCCATCCCTAATACATAGACGAACAGCTCTGGTCCAACTGGTTGGAATGCAATAAATGGAAGAGGTCCTGGTGTACTCTGTGCCAATCTGGGCCTATTTTACATGTACTTGTCTGTGTTTTTGGCGTCTGTAGTGTTCCCCTATTATTCCTGACAGGTACCTGCGAGAGGAGAAGTTGGAGGTACAGGTGTGGGTGAGCTATGGGAAGAAGGACGGTAATCAGAAGTCGCAACACAGGGATAAGCTGATCGGTACCACCTACATAGAGCTAGACGCTCTCAACGACGAGCGCCGCAGACAGCATAGGATCAGGTACATCAATAGCACACACTTTTAAATATGTTTCATGAATGATCCAATTTAATTGGTACATTATTCTCAGAAATAATCAAACATGCCGCGGTGGTTAAGGCGTCTGACATTCTACTACCGCTAGCCCTCCACCACTGGGTCGCGGGTTCAAGGCCTACGTGGGGCAGTCGCCAGGTACTGGCAGTAGGTCTGTGGTTTTTCTCTGCCACCAAAACCTGGCACGTCCTTAAATGAACATAGCTGTTAATAGGACGTAAAACACAAACGGACAAACCTACTGTTTTGATTTGAAAATGTTAAGCTGTAGTATGTTAAAGTATTATTTTTTCTCGCCAGTGGCATGTTTCCCCTGTACAAGCCAGGTGCAGCTAGTCTCGGAGGGGCCTTCCTCAGGGCACACATAACTGCTAAACCACAGTTTGGAAGTGTTACCAAGGTAAGGGCTTGATAGAATTGTGTACCTTTTGTTTGGTCATTCTCATGCAAGATTTGATTTTGTAAATACATCTTGATTTACAAGAAGTCTTGTAATTGCAGTTATTTTGCACTTTCAAGAAGGAAGTTATAGAAATTAATTAGTATTATCAGGTACTCCATCGTTATAAACTACACGGAAGGTTGAAGTTGAATTGTCCATTGCTTTCAGTTTTATATATGGAATGGATAAGAGCGATATAAACATGATAATTAACAACAGAAAACTTTTAATATAAAATCAATCAACATACTTAAAAATGATGGAAAAACAAACAAGCATATATTTCCCTGCGAGTGATGAATGTATGATCGCAGGAATAAATTAGTTTATGATATTTGAAGATAGTGCCAGGCAGTTATAATAAAATTCTTTAAACATTCTGAATGGCATATAGTATGTAAACATCAGTACGGAATATCAAATATTTTTTATGGAATAATAACAGAAACATATAGAATAATTGTATAAGGATTTATACTTTAGCTGTGAATAATTTCTTTTTTGATATCTAAAATGACTGCTTTCTGCTGTTTATAGCAATCTGATGATGAGGCAGACGAGAAAGTGTCAGAGGGGGAAGTAGATGAGGAGTACGACCCCAATGACAGTTTCCATCAGATCATGGGGAAGAAGAAATCCAAGTCAAGCACAGATGTGCCACACCTTGAGCGTGTGGAGGAGGATTCTGTAGTCCCTCACTTCCCCGTTATCGTCTCTGTTGAGCGTGCCATGCATTTACCTCTGATCAGCGACAAAAATAGGTAACATTACAAAATCAATGAAGAACATTTACTTACCTCCAGAACAGGAGTAAAAAATTGTTATCCTTTTATCAAAAAGAAACTTAAAAAACACATTTCCACATCCGAATGTAAATGTTGGCACAATCACAGCACAGAAACAAGAAATTGGATCAGTATAGATGGCTCATTAAAAATTAAAAAAAACCACCTTATAACAACATGCAGTATTCATTCTTAGAAATGTTTTTGTGTTGTTTCAGATCTGAGGAGTACTTCCCCAATACTTATGTGTCTTACCAGACGTCCGAAAGTGCTAGTCCTGCATATACTCAGGTCTTCTACAACTCGGACAACCCTGTCTGGGACGACCAACAGGAGACACGACTCAGCACCGAGCTTCTCTACCAGGAAAACAAGGTAAAATTTCTTCACCTTAAAAAAGAATGACCATGTATGATATATTGTTTCCATTCTTATAACAGCAATTTCCTACCTTAGGAAAGGACCACGGGTGTTAAGGGTCATTTCTGGTGGCATAAACTGGTTTAGGAGATATGACATTACAAAGAGAGACATAGACCCGCATTTTCATAATCAAATGCGTGAATATCGTCTATTGTGCACTATTTGGTTGAAATTAAATTTGCCATTTTAAAGGAAATTAACTATTAAAACACTCTTCAATGTTTGAAAGCCTCCGCATGGAACAAACAAATAAATATTTGACATGCTTAAACATTGTCATACCAGTGTTCATTCGTAGAAAGGCATTTTTGTCTGCCACATGTGCAGGCTTTCATTTCTGCATGCTAAGTGTCCAAAAACACCATATAGTTTGGCTATTTCTGCATAGCAAACGCTATTTTGTTGCTATGGTCGGGCATCTGCGAATGCGTATTGGAAAAAATCTACACCAAGAAAGATAGACCTAGTTAACCAATATGATGTTTATAACAGAAATTAGTAAATAAATTCGAATTTATTTTTTTTACTTTTTATGAGGCCAAAAATCACACATAACACCTCAAGTCCTTTGCATACTACCTGTGATAGGAGGGGGTTAGGTTATAGTAATCACTTGCCACTCAGTCAGTCTGTTCATAGTAAAAAGCTATTTTATAAACCCCTTGGTAAATTTAGTTCATAATTACACCACAGTAAAGTAATACTGTCTTCTACATACACCTGATTTGATTTTAGTTGTCATCAGTTAAGCTTAAAGGGTCAAAGGTACCATTTGACCACTTTTGAAGTAAAAAGGCTTGTGAATATTAAAGATATCTCAATCTGTAGATTTAGTTAATATTTACACCATTTTGTGTTTTATATTTTATTTCTTTTAAATACTTTTCTATATTCATGCTATTGTTGAACATCCATAAAGCTCTCTTCTATACTAATATGTATCATTTCTGGATTGTAAAGCTGTATTTTTTCAAAAAACGCACAACATGTATCATGTTTACAAAACAACAAAGACTTGGACTATCAACATTGGTACACTCTGTTCAGATTTTTATTTAGTTGCACAAAAAAGTTTGTGAAGAGCTGTATTTTGCTATAGGTCAGTGTTTCATTTACTTCTCTATGTGTCTTCAGAATCTGGTGTTCAAAGTTTGGCATAAACCACAGAGTGCCTCCAAGGATCCCGACAAATCCTCTGACCGAGTGCTAGGGTTTGTGTCCGTGGATCTGACCCCACTGACCTCGGGACTTCTACAGATCTGTGGCTGGTACAATGTCATGGACTTCCATGGTCAGTGCCGCGGCCAAATCAAGGTCAGTGGTGCCAAACAAAGCCTTGTACAGACCATTTTTCTTAAAGATTTCAGCAAAACATCTTGTGTATACGTAACTGCCATATTGTTTCAGTCACTTGTAAAGAGTTAAGTCCCTTGATGTTGTTATCTTACATTTGAAATGTACATTATCAATCACATGATGTAAGTTTCATTGAATTTCCAATTTATACACTCTAAATATCTTTTTCCTACAAATACTTAAGTTTGGAAAATAAGGCAGCAAATATTAAAGCATAGGGTCGTTTGGGGTATTAGAATTAATGTTCTAATTAAAATGTGTAAATAAATGTTTGTCCTTTGAAGGACATCGCTGTTTGTAATTTTGTGTACTGTGAGCGATTTATCTTGTATGTCGAATTCGACTAAATGTTAAGAAATGTGCCTTGCCTTGCAGGTGAATATTGTCCCACAGGATGATGTGACACGCCATGTACAGGGCATTTCTGGTCAGCCAGTGGCCATGTCTTTCTACAACCAACCATCCAGCCTGCCCTTCACCATTAACTCCTCCGTCCAGAACACCATGCCCTCGGAACAGCCAATGTCCCTCCCAACAGATCTACGCCCCTTCTCCTCCAATCTGCCCAACTTTGACCAGGTGCGAGAACACCAGGAACAATTACAGCATCAGCTGAGTGAAAACATTCGCCAGTTCCTGCGTAACCATGAAATGTCATCACAGGATTCGCCCGAGGAGTCGCCGCGCCCTGAGGTGTCGCCCCACTGGCAGCCTCCAACACTCAACGACATCAGGGTGGACGACAGCGCCGCTTGTTCACGTTCCATTATGTTCTCATCCCTCAGGTAACCCAATCATCATATCTCATAGGTGTTCACGATGTTTTTGTAAAATCAACATCAGTTAATTGTCATAATAACTGTGCTCTTAAGTAATTCAAATTATGTTATTAATTAATCAAATTTGTCTATTATCTTTTCCAGGAAACAAATGCAAGATTTGGATGATATCACATCAAAGTTAAAAAAGAAGCTTGCCTCGCCACCATCTGTGAACAATTTCTCTATTCATCAAGGCCGATCAGAATTTCCCGACACTGATAACATGAGGAATGCTCCAATCCAGTCCATCATATCCCCTCTGTCCACTCTTCAGTTGACATCAACACTACGAGCCAATGACAGTGAGTTACTATTAACAGGATCTCACGAGGGAGAGTCTTCGCGGACCGCTGTCGACTCTGGTGCATTCTCTGTGACACAGTCAAGCGAGAAATACCAGGACGCCTTGGATTCTCAGCGGAGTAGCGAGAGAATGGACACTTTGCGGATGGGAATAACACCTCGGGACTTTGACAATACCGGACAGGATGGTCCAACGCCACGCGAGGCACAGAAAAGCTCGGGTTCTACACCAAGAGATGCACACAATTTCAGTGACACGGGTATACACATGGGCTACACCCCGAGAGATGACGTATCTGTGTCAACAGGGGGATTCAACATGGCGAATACCCCCCGTGACCTGGTCAGTGTGGATGGCTTGAAACCCTGTGGCCTGGACTTGTCGCAGGATAGTAATGCCAATGCTAGAGACATGCATGTGAGCGGGAGTAGTAGTGCATCCTTGGGGTTCGCGTATCAGGGAGAACTGTCGCAGGGAAGCAGTACTGGCAGTGGCTATAGGAACGGTGTTGGAGCCCCAGCCAGAACCACCAGCACTGCGACTCACGATACTGATGTGAAGGAAATGAGCGTGATTCAGGAATTCACAGAAAATGAGGAGGACGCAGTCAGCGATGATAATGGAGAGGAGGATGAAAGATATTATCAAGAATATTGTGACATTTTAGACGAACAGGAGAACGAGGATGAATCGGACAATGAGGAGGAAAATGTTGTTGTACCAAGGACTTTAAACGACGTCTCAGGAAAGTTTGGGGGAATCCCTGGTCATTCTGTTTACATGGACAGCAATGGACATGGTGGGTCACCTCGAGAGTTTGTGAGAAATGGACAGACAATGCCTTTTGATATTAGAGCTAGTGATTCTCGGGAATTAAGTCGGACTAAGTTTGATCGCAAGGAGGCTGATAATATGCTCGATCTTTCAGACAGTGAATCTGTGCCTGACCAACTACTTTCTCCTCATTTACAACTGACGGAACGGCCATCTTTTATAGAGAAAGACAGCTGGTTTTCAGACGATGACCAGAAGGACCAGCGCGTGTCAAGATTTGGCAGTGATGCTGGGGAAGGTACGCATAGGGACATCCATTCTCCATACAGGGTGAACGGTGATGTGGCACGTAATAGTCTGCTGCAGGACGTGGAACTGGAATCTGTGAACTCAGGAAGTCATAATACGCAAAACTCAGGATCCAGGCAATCTTCACGTGTGTCATCTGCTGGAAGTGACAGACTGTCGGCCAAGAATTCCTCAGGACATTCTCGAGGATACGAGTCCAATTTTGTGGAGGATGACGTTCCTCTTTCTTCTTCAGTGCCAAAATCGCCAAAAGAGGCATTCTCAGAGGTGGTGACTGAGTTAGAGGATTTCTTTGATCCAGTACGACCTCAGACCAGGATGGAAGGGCAAAGGTCAATGTCACCTACTTACGGATCAAGGTCACGCTCCCCTAAAATGCTAAATGAAAGAGTTAACTTTGAAAGTTCAGAGAGCTTTGGTGATCCCGATAATGCTACTTCAAACATAAATGGCTACGGTAGTCTCCCAGATGGAGAAATACATGATTTACCTAACGGATTTCAAGAGCATTCTTCCATGCCAAATTTTTTCCTTCCCTCTCAACATTTGGCAGAGTCTATGCAGGCCCTACAGCAGGCTACTTCAGGGTTTCCTTCCTCTAGTCAACAGGTATGTGCAATATTCTCTGTACTGATGTATAATTCTTTTCATGTTGTTGAATTATTTAAGGGTAAATATTTCACTGAATTCTCGGTAAATTTACCTAAACACAATTTTGTGCGTGCCTATTTTGCATGTTGTGTTGAAAAATCAAAAAGTGTTGTTGCATAATTTTGGTTTTCAAGTGTAAGAAGGTCTGTACTGTTTGTTTAGAAATGATCATTGATTTTCAGATTCACCTCATTGGTTTGGTTTAGTTTGGTTTAGTATTGTTTAACGTCCTATCAACAGCTATGGTCATTTAAGGACGGCCTCCCCTGTGTGCAAGATGCATGCGTGTAGTGTATGCATGTGTGTTTTGGGAGGCTGCGATATGTTCGTATTCACCTCATTAGGAAAATATCACTGCTGCAAAATTTAAACCAAAAATATACCACATACAATGTATACAATTAAATTCCTGTCATTTCATCCAGATGACCCCAGTTTTAACATTGTAACATAAATTTCCCTAAAGAAAAGCAATGCTGAAGTTGAGGAAAATTTACTTTACTTCAGATTTTCCTTTACTCGAATAATGGCTTTCTCATAAAAAAAATCAGTACAGGAATTTCTTCTCGTAAGGGCATGATTGCGAAACAGAGGCCTGAATGCATAAATTTAGAAAATGGAATGTATACTGTATGTCAAACAGACAGGTAAATTTACAGTTATGTTTTGTTTTACAGCAAACTGACCCCGGGAGACAGGCAGCTAAAGTACAAGCAGCGTCTGACCTCATGGAAAAGCTGACCACAAATAACCACAAAGTGAAGTTTTCAACCGTCCACACCAAAGGGAGACAACCTCCCACTGCAGCAGAGACCAAAAGAATTGCGAAGATATTCTCAGAGAAATTTTCATCAAAACACTGATCTGTAACAATTCCCCATCTGGGACTTTTAATCGGCTGTAGTCCAACTTATGAATTAGTATGCATGGTTATATTTAGGCTTTGAAGGATTTTGAAATCTCCATTTGCTGTGACATATGAGTTTCTGATCTGATTTTACATGACAACGAATTGAATGCTGTGAGACATGTGTTAATATTATGACAAGCTGGTCTGTGATATGCCCTTGATGCATACTCCTCAAAATTCATCAGTGTGTGTGTGTGTATCAGTCTTCATCACAACTCCATCAATCTTCATCAAATCATTCATTGTTCATCTATATCTTCATCATCAAAAATGTCATTGTGAAATAATCATTTTCATAGTTTCTCATCAGATCTCAATTAATTCTCATTCTATATATATTTATTTCTCACAATTCTCTCTTCGTCTTTTACTGGTTATGTGTTGTGTCATCAAAACTAAATCTAGGGCCGTTTTCGTTTAAACGGTTGAACCGGTCGGACCACAGTTGTTCGTTTATTCACTCATTCACCACTGTAGACCATAATGGATTCATCCAGATCAATGCATGGTAGAGTCTACTAAAGTTACATAGGGTTGAAAGGGTTAAATAAACATTTGCAGGTCCGCCAGGATTTATACCCGAAATTGTTACAATTAAAAACAGGCAAACTGGTTATTCCGCATAAACGAACAGGCCCTAGGGTTTAACCCGAATTTGCTCAAAAAAGTCTGAACTACAATAGCACATTGTACCAAAAACACATATCCTTACGGCAAACTCCTATTTATCATCTTGTCAGTTACAGAATATAAAAATACCGAAGTTAGGGAGGATATTTATTGCACAATTTTTACAACTGTAGCAATTATAGAGTGACCTGACCTTTTTGTAATAATAGGTTACATTCACGTATCCGGTTGAAACGGTACAGGTGGCGCAGAAATATTCCACGATAAACGAACGCACTTGGACTGTTTTATAAGCAGAGCAAAAAATGCACAGTTTGCAGAGAATAAATAACAATGAATCAAGAATAGTATGCCCTTCTTTCACCCATCCACTGAAATAAATAACATATCTTAAAAAAATACATGTGGCTTGACATTGTTTTAGAAAGAAAGAAATTTCACATCTGTGCCTGTCGTTTTCTTTACAGGTTCAACCATTTCAACCGGATACGCAAATGTACCCTTAGTCTTAAGTGGTATGATTTCAGTTTTTAGCAGAGTAGCATGGAAATGTTCTGTTAGACTATATTGAGGGCTGCAAAATTGATTCTGTAAATTTTTGGCATTATGAGAAACCAAACCCACATACTTAGCCACTGTAAATCAGGGTTTCGTGTCCTTTTTCTTTGTTACCTAATGTTAGGTAGCAGAGGATGATTTGAAAATGTTTTACTTTAGGAAAAAATGCAAACATACAAGCTAAACTTACCCTATACAATTTATGTATTTTTTATTTGTTATAAAAAAAACATACTTCAATATAATCAAACTGATGAGTCTTATCAAAGATGTTTGTAGATGTCTTTTTCACTTTAGATATAGGGGACTGCGGTGGCCAAGTGGTTAAGGTGTCTGACATTCTGCTACCACTAGCCCTCCACCACTGGGTCGCGGGTTCGAGACCTACGTGGGGCAGTCGCCAGGTACTGGCCGTAGATCGGTAGTTTTTCTCCGGGAACTTCTGGTTTCCTCCACCACAAAACCTGGCATGTCCATAAATGACCATAGCTGTTTTAAAATAGGGCGTAAAACACAAACAAACCAAAACTTAACATACATTCCACTAAAACATCACCTAGCTGTATTAAATTAAAGCTCAACTGTTTTGTCTCTTCTTTTGACTCTCCACTAAGGTAGTTGTAGTTAGATAATCAGAATTCCGTCCATGAAATCTGGGGTATAAATGTTACGAGCTGAAGCATGCTGATGATGTAGATAGAAATCGGTATTATTTTATGTGTAGTTTTTGCTGAAAGTTGGGTTCTGTATGAATGTTGTTGCTCACTGTGTGCCTCACGATGTGTCTGTGTATCATCTGTCGCCACCTGATGCCTGTTGCTCATGATTTTAAGACTTTCTCTGTAGTTAGGGATGTGAAGACCTTTTTCTTTTGCTATTGCTAGTGATGTGAAGACCTTTACTTGTTGCTAGTGGTACCGGTGTTGATATCTTTCTCCGTTGTTAGGGGTAATAACTCATTCACCCCTGTAGACACATTTGAACTCTTCCAATTCAAAGCTCGGAATAGTTCATTATGATACTTCAGGGGTGAATGAGTTAAGACCTTTTTTTTTCTATTGCTAGTGATAAAAAGCCCTAAACACCATATTAAGACGTTAGAGATCTTTCAACTATTTCAGTAACAGTTTAATTTTCTGTCTTTCTAAATGTTCTTGATGTTGAGGTGCATGTTAAACCTGCTATCCACTCCTAAGAAGAGTGTTTATATAGACCGTACATGTATTGGCTGTCCCCTAATTCCTATTAGATTTAATCAAATAAGGTATTTATAAATTAGAAGTGTAAATAGCGTCAATATTATAATATTGCTTTTAGGCAAGTATACTGGCATTATATGTGTAAAGATACTATTGCACAAGCTAAATTTTTGTTATCCAATTAAAATGATAAGCTTACAAATATTGAGATGAAATAGTCTGTATTTTGCGCTTAGGCCTATGTGGTATACAAGGGATATTCTGCCGAAACACATTCTAATTATTCTTCATACATGTTCAGAGTCATTGATGTTAAGATCAAATGTATGGTTCCTCTACGTTTTGTCAGTACACAACTGTAGAAGCTGGTATAACTGTTCACTTGCGTGTTGATGTATTTATTGGTCAGTACATAAAATTATCGAAGGGTAAACATTAGGTAAATGATACAGTAATTGTAAGTCAAAAAATCCTTGTTCCATCTTGATACCTCCTATTCCAACAGTGTTAGAGGTTCAAGACAGCGACATGCTTTTGACCAGTTTCGTGGAGCACAATCATGTCAGATAAATAGAAGCCAGCCATTGACATCTTATGTTACAGGGGTAGATACGTGGTACCCCGTCTGACCTTGTGCTCCTCCCTTAATCCTTTCATTATCCCCCCATCTTATACTCCACCTTCCCAAGGCCGAAGTGCTTCATTCCTCTCTGCAGGCACCCCCGTCCAGTCCCATCCCTCCCTTGCTCCCCAAGTCCCTCCCATATTCCCCCAGTCCCTCCCATGTTCCCCCAGTCCCTCCCATGTTCCCCCAGTCCCTCCCATGTTCCCCAAGTCCCTCCCATGTTCCCCCAGTCCGTCCCATGTTCCCCCTCCCTAAACACTTGTTAGTTATATCACCATTTACCTGTACATATTACTGTGTTTTGTACGTTCACATTCCCAGTAATTACTTGATATTCTGTCTTTGAAGGCCTAGTATACTCAATAGAAACTACAATGTATAATAAACATGTTATATTTATTTTCACAAATGAGTTTGTAACTATTTATTGTACTGTGTTGTCCTGAAGATCGATTTCTTTTCTGTGGTTTTGGATATAATTGGTGCAATACCCTTGTTTCTTGTGCCAGTACTTGTGAAATCATTTATACATACAGTTATGGTTCTGATCATCGATACGATGTTTTTCTGGAGTTAAACAGAAAGTATGATTGATCGAATCAGACGCCTCATCAAAAATACACTGTGTGAACAACCTATGATGTTTCATTTGTGAATGCAGATAAACATCTTCTAAAACTTACTAAGTTGTTGCAGGAAAATTAATGCCATGATATTTTGCCAGCATCTTATTTTTATTTGCCCATTGCACAAAAAGACTTCTGATTTTCAATATCTTCAGCTTGGTAGAAGTAGGCTATAGAGGGTAGCATACAGAAATCTAGAGGATTGACTGGTACTGCTTGCATCATCTCTGTATTGAGTAGGTTGTCATCATAATATGTTGACTACATCATCACTGTTTTGTGTAGCTTGTCATCATAATATGTTGACTACATTATCACTGTTTTGTGTAGGTTGTCATCATAATATGTTGACTACATCATCTCTGTAATTGGTAGGTTGTCATCATAATATGTTGACTACATCATCTCTTCATGAGTAGGTTGTCATCATAATATGTTGACTAGATATTCTCTGTATAGAGTAGTTTGTCATCATGATATGGTGATAACACTATCCCTGTTAAGTAGGTTGTTATCATTATAGTTGTATAATTTGTTTTTAGTAGTCAATTATGTGAATATATATTTATACCCTTCATTTTTTTTACAATTTAAGGAACATACCTGATGAATACATGTACACAGTATACCTGGATTCAGGTATATGGTGGGTAGATGAACTATGCATGTATGCTAGCTGTCTAGAATAACATGTAAAAAATGTATAATTATTTATTTAAGACTGTAACAAGCCTTTAGATTACATTTAACAATTTTATATCAAAAATAAAATATGATATGAAAACAAATCACCCTTTTATCTTTTTTTTTTACTTTTTACTTTTATATCTTGAATTATACACAGCATGCTATTGTTTTCACTTAACATGTTTGAGTATGGAATCTGACATCTCATCTGTAGGTCGTTTACAATATGTCAACTAAGAAATTGTCATAGGTGTGAACCTCTGAAACCTCCAATGAGGAAGAAAGTCCATGAAACGTGACTGTATCTGCTTTGCTCAATTTATCTTTCCCTTTATATGTATCAAAATAACTCCCAAACAGCATTAATTTGATTCAGACACACCTGTTATGATCATTACACACACCCTGCAGTTTCTAGGAGATCATTTGACCACAGAATGTAGATTTTGAATTTGTGTGCGTTTGGATTTGAGTGAGGGAGTTTCGAGGGAGATTGGTAAATTTTGGTTAAAATGAGGCAGTCTCCCTCCTAATGAGGTAGGGTTGACGGCTATGAATTGTGTGTACTGGTGATTAAATGGAGGTGGAATATCAAACTATAAAATTGTAAAGAAAACACGATTCTTACACATGATGACAACTCTTCTGCTTTGTGTTAAAAATCTTCCAAATCTGTAGACTTGGATATGTTTTGGCCTTATTGATTTGTTTGGAATACAGTTGTTGCCATCTAGAAGGTGAGACCATTAAACCTGTGATGAATCAAGAGTGGTTCAGTTATAAACTAAATCAAGTGTCCCAGCTGTATGAAGAGTATTGACCAGTATGTGGTATATTTATATATATATAACATAACATGAAGACGAAATTTCGCCCATCTTGGGGCTCTTAAGGTGAGTTGAATTTTATTTTATGCAAACACCTTCGCCCACATATATGTATATATATAAGTGATTGAATCAGTTCACCTTTCCTGGTAAATGGCAGAATGAATCAGATGTGTGAAAGACATGAAAAGATCACTAATACATAAGACTACATCAGTAGTACACCAGACATGATCACTGGTATACCAGACCAGATCACTGGTACAGCAGACCAGATCACTGGTTCACCAGACCAGATCACTGGTATGCCAGACTAGATCAG